TAACATTCGGATTTTATGGTTGTTTTAACCTTCGAAACGTCCATTTGTTTAACTGACTGCACATCCGTTGACACAAACCGTTTTGGTGAGTTCCTCGCTGCACGTATCTCGCTCTGTCTGATTCGCTTCCTATTATTGTAGCCTGTACAATATACGTTGGGTTCAGTTGCCTCCGACTTCTATACTGTCGTATTTGGCACGTCTTACGTGTCATTGCTTACCGACTAGTATCCCAGGCTCCGCCCAACAATTGGTGACCCCATGTCAGGAACACGCCACCAGCTTCGGTACGTACTACGTATTCATGGTCGCTGCTTAATTAAAAACCCCGTCCTGTTTGTCATGTGTAAGTTAAAACAAGTCCCGAGGCAGACAAAAGTTAAATCGGCAGTCAGAAGTGCAGTCACTGACCGCAAAACTCATGATCATCATCAATACACCTTAGCCGAGGGTGAGAAGCACACCTCAAATATAAGACAATAAGCAATGTAGACTACAAAGCTATGAAAAAGTAAAAATGGAATGCAAAACTAGGCGCCGTGCGCCAGTATCGCATTTGCAGCTGCAGTCCACGTGACAAGCCATGTGTTTAACAACAGACTTTCCTGGATATGGCAAGAAATGAGATAGGCAATGGAGTTATTGGACATGGCTCGCATTCGACACCAAAAGGCGAGTCTCACGTCACCTGGAGGCTGCACTGACTGCTTAAAGTGTAATTGACTCCTCCCAGATGCCTACAAACCAGCAAGTCAAAACCTGGTCCGGAAAGGCATCAGATGATTGCTCCGCCCTATTGGGACTCGTCAATGGTGCGCATTCATTCGGTCTCCTATGAGGGATCGAACCCATGACCGCTAGCACCTAACGCTAACTAGCTAGCAGCTTATGCCACTAAGTCATGATGGATGGAGGCAGACCGTCTTAATTTGTAAGCTTTACGGGAAATAGCTCAACCATCTTTCAACGCCATGCAGAGAACAGTGGATGTCCAGGTAATGTGTGCTACCGAGTAAATGATTCAGGGCATGAAAAGATATAAGGAAGCCGTCTCGCCGATACTGCCAGATGTCCACACGATAGCCAGCTGTGTTTGCGACGTTATTCTGTTGTAAATATGTAGGCGCCATGACCCTGTAGGTTTGCGTGGGGCGTTACAGTTTCGCGATAGGTCCACCATCTCTCCCACATATTATTCATCGTTACAGAGGTCATCGTGGTTGTAGGTCAGCAAAGTATCAATTCAAATGACTGACGTACTGCTGTCCACAGTATCCGTCGTGAGTGGACATGCAAGCTCAACCTAGATCGGGATTAATCGCAAAGCAAACCTGGACAAACACAAACCGTATCCGAAGTCCGAGACTGACCCACCAGAGACCAGTACGGTCAGAGTCAAATGATCTGACACATTCCTCCGCACACCATCGCGTTAGTTAGGCAAAATAAGCTGTATGGAAATAAAGATGTCTCTGAACAACGCAGAGACAACAGCAAATGAAGCAGACACGGACACGGACCGAAGTCAAGCAAATCATTCAGCGACGCTACAACGCAAGCCATAAAATCAAATCATGCACTCACTCGAATGAACGGTTCTGATATGCCTTTGCATATGGCTGTTCTCGGTAAACGATTGTTTACAGTATTCACATGAATAGGGGCGTTGTTCTGAACAAGAAAAAAGAACCCATTATTTACCGGAGAACCAAAAGAAAGGTAGATGAGAGAGGGCCAGGTATGTATCGGCAAAAACAAGCGCATCTGAGTACTACGTGGGGCTAGCCGAACAACCTCGTGGTGCCAGCTGGGTGGTTCGGGTTTTACCCGTTCCACCTAATAGTTCGGCCGCAGTGTTCCAGGACGTGGTGGGTTTTCGCCTGGCAAGCGTTCTCCCTATAAAAAGCCACAAATGTCTGCTTAACAACACTGTGACGTGGCGGTCGTGGCTCGCCACAAAATAAAGTCACTGCCCCGTGGATATCTGGATAATCCTTTCAAACCCACGGACACCAATCTTGCAATCGCACCTTGCAGACGATAGCAAACATTCAATAATAGAACAGCACAGTTACAAGCGAAAATAACACAGCTACATAAACGCACACACAATTACATACTTACATTCCCCCTACACAAACAAGCACTGTCATGGCAAATATATCGGATTTTTGCAACTTCTTGATCGCGCGTTGTTTTGTCAAAATGATCATGCCTGTAAAGGTGTGCCTCGCCTTGCCGAGAATAAACACTTTATTTATTTATTTAAATAGTACAATGAAGAAGAACCTCAAAATTCTGTTGGCAATTCGATCGCAGCAGTCGCGCACGGCGTACGAATATGCCTGGTGACAGCAATTGTGCAGTGAGTGCGGCACGCATTCGGTTGGCTATCATGTTCTGGTCTTCCACTTCGATCGAATATTCCAATGACATTTGTCTGAAGTGGGGACTCATCGAGAAGCTAACTCGAGGAGTGGTAGTTATATCGCCAACGGATTTCAGAGTTAAAGGTTACGACAGCATTCAGTTTGTATGCGGTTGACCGTTAAACACAAAGTGATTTGCGGTATACACATAGGCACATGTATCAACTAGGTCAAGTTCTCAGCACTTAAATGTGAGCACCAAAATCAGTGATTCGAGAAGGACAACCCAACAGTAAGTAACGAGAAATGTCTGATCACCTCTAGTATTCATCAACTCTGCGTCAGCACAAGTCATAAAGCACCCGGGATACAATTACCGACCAATCCCCACGTAAACATTCCCAAGTCTCACATCACAGTAGATGATCCCTGTAGCCGGACAACACGCTTCAAGATCGTGGCATACTATACTGAACCGGACACTGGATGGAAGCACGTATACTTTCTACTGTCGCTTCTCATCAATCACAGTTCGCAAACATGGTCGCGGATAATTTAGTGCATCAACGACAGCAATTTCCCATCACTCATATACCAATCAGTTTACGGTCCAAACTCGCCTTAGGATCAGTCATCGTTGGAAACTACCTCATAGGTTCCGGAATGCGCCGCGAATTCTTGTTGTCATCCAACGCGGTTCAGATTGACCAGATAACATGAGAAGAGGACAGTAAAGAGTTAAGAGGGTGCAACCCCTATCTACCTCAAGTCAAAATTTACCCACCACCGCCCGCTGTATTACTCAATTGGCATCAATACAAACCGAAGCAAAATGAGTTCGTCGACTTCAGCATCCCCCCACCCCTGTATACTACGGATGTCAGTCCTTTTTTAGAATATCGCACACCACCAGTTCCTCCCCCACCAATCCTGCCCCTATCACGTACGATTATGAACCAGAGATTAATCAAACTACTAGAGTATGTACTTCATTCAATCCAGTACGATCTGGAGCTCAGTGTGCCTCAGCTACCTCACAACACACAATTCTCAGATACAATGACGATGAAACAAACATTACCCACCACTTTCAGTCCATGTTAACAATGTCTTTCAAAGCTGTTGTCATTAACCTACGTTCCCTTTTGCCTAAATTAGATATACTTTCAACACTTATGTTTATGAGATCCCCCGATATTGTTTTTATCACTGAAACTTGGTGCACGTCGGAAATTAGTGATTCTCAGCTTAACATCATAGGCTATAAGCTTTTCCGCAAGGATCGCTCGCACAAACGTGGTGGTGGCTGTGCCATATATCTTCGAAATAACCTGACTGCCATTCCTGCAGATCAACCTGTGTTCATTGACTTAGAAGATACACTATGGCTAGTGATCCCATCTATTGATCTTCTAGTGGGTTGTATCTATCGGCCGCCCCGAACTACACAATTTGCAACCCAAAAGCTAATCGATATGATCAATGTTGCTTCCAGCACCACATACAAATCCAAAATTATGTGTGGAGATTTTAACCTACCACATGTTAACTGGACGCTGCCTACACTCAGAAACACGGCAGAGATTGAGGAAATTATCGCATGTATCCACCTCAATGGCTGGACTCAGCATGTTAGAGAGCCAACTAGAAGTGCTACTATCTTAGACCATGTATTCACGATGGGAATCGCGAAAGTTCATACATTCATTGATAATCCACTGCCTGGCTGTGATCACAACACGGTGTTTTGTGATATGACTATTGATTTACCTAAACGACCAAGTAAAATGCTAAAACCCATTCGTAACCTCCATCGTGTGGACTGGAACGCATTTAATGAACTTATCGGTACCATGAATTGGAATACGTCATTCCTAACCCACAACCCTACTGTGGCTACAAATGAGTTTATAAACAACATTGCCCTTGTTGTGGATCTACTAGCACCTACTGTAAGGAGAAATACCCATGAACATAGGGGTGAACTCAAGCTTCTGTCCAAAGCCAAAATAAAACTAAAGAAACTCAAATCGCTATACAGCAGGAACAACAGCTTCGCAACATTGCTGCAAATACACGAGAACTTACTATATTTACAACGTCTAACCCTAACAGTCAAAACCAAAGAAGAAAGCCGGGTACTCAGAAATCCTGAGAAAGTACGTGCATTGATGCAACTACTCAAAAGAAGAAACCCTAAACCACTTCAGGAAATTGAAACGTTGGTTCTAGACGATGGTTCAATAACGCGCGATATCTCCTGTATATGCGAGGCCATGAACTCTAGTTTTGCCTCCTCTTTTGTCCCCAACATTCAGCCATTTCATCCTCCACTTCCAAAAAGAACGACCGAACTATACTGCAATATCCCTGTGACGTTAAGAGAGGTGAAAAGTGCCATCGCAGCCATAAAACCATCAACTCATCCAGGTCCAGATGGCATCTCCCCAACTGTTATAAAACTCGGAGGAAAAAACCTCGCACTATTGTTACTAAACATTTTCACACTTTCACTCACTACCGGTTGCTTTCCAGCTCAATGGAAGCAATCCATTATAATGCCTAAGCACAAGGGTGGACCGAGAAATCAAATGTCAAGCTACCGCCCAATAAATCACACCTCTGCTGCTTCCAAAGCCCTAGAGCGAATAGTCAAGAAGAACATCGTCCAATATCTAACAAGACTGGATCTGATCAACCCTTCACAGCACGGCTTTCTCTCAAGACGCTCCTGCGTTACATGCCAGCTACAATTTCTCGATCACATCACGACTATGATTGACAGAGGAATGGCAATTATCATAATTCTGTTGGACATGCAAAAGGCTTTCGACCGCGTGCCACACCAGCCACTGCTGTCTGCTCTAGAGTCATATGGAATTGGAAGTCCGCTGCTTAACTGGTTCGACTCATACCTAAAAGGTCGAACTCAGGTCGTTAAAATCGGTCAGCAACATTCTACACCGAAACCAATAACCAGCGGTGTCTTCCAGGGAAGTGTGCTCGGACCGCTACTTTTCTTAATCTATGTAAACAATATTTGTGACCCAATCAAACATGGACATCCATTTCTGTTTGAAGATGATGTCAAACTGGTTTACTCATTTCATCCGGACCAACTACATATGTGTTTGAGAAACATCTGTGAAGACCTATCCGCACTAAATATAGCTAGTGAGCGCTTATTAATGAAGTTCTCCGCAGTGAAATGCCAAGTACTTGGGTACAGATGCCGCATCCCAGAAGGCTCCATTATACTTGCCGGAAACGTGATCCCAACGTCTGAGTCAGTTCGGGACTTAGGAATTAGATACTCCAACTCTTTCAATTTCTCCGAACATGTTCTTTATCAGGTTGCGAAAGCGAGGCAGCTATGCGGATATATCACCAGAACTTTCTCCCTACCTGAAGTACGACTTGAATCATTCAAGACAATCGTACGACCGACTCTGGAGTATTGTACTATCCTTCACAGCCAATTGAGAAAGAAAGACAGAACGGCTCTAGAAAATGTCCAACGATCATTTACCAAGCTGCTCATGGGACGCTGCTCAAACCTGACTTATTATGATCGATGTCGAAGACTGCAGCTGGATCCACTTTGGCTGAGACGCTTAAAAAACAACCTCGTTCTCTTCTACAACCTTATAAACCAACGAATTTACGCAGACAGCACCGCACTTGAACTGCGGAAGACTGCAGTCTACCCCACACGTAATGGCGGCTATTTGATACGTACAAACTTTTCAAGTCATAAAATTCGATCGAATTTCTTTTTAGTGAGATACACTTATTTGTGGAACAAACTACCCCTACAGATACGCATGTGTACAAGCCATGTCACCTTTCGAAATCTCCTTCAGACCTTCCTCACTATACCAAATGCTCTGAAGATATTTGACTCACAGCAAACAATAGAAACACTGACAGAAGTTGGTATAAAAAACATTTGATAATAGCTTACAGCTGGCTTACCCACTACATGTCATTACATACCATACCAAATCCTGTGCCTTTGCAGCCTAATAGTCCCTTCGTTTATTATCTACTCCTGAAAATACAAACATCCGTAAATTTTACATATGAGTTGCGCGGGTCTAGGACTCAAGGAAAAGTAATCATGATCCGAAATGCTATTAGTAAACTTTTATTTAATGTTATGAAACGTGTTCACTATACACATGATCGCTCCCACTTATGGGGCCGTGTACCGTCCGTCGATAAATATATAAATTTATTTATTTATTTATTTATTTATTTATATACAACAGCTTTGCAACATTACGAAAACAGCAGTGATCAAAGTTTAGCTCAACCGCATGTGAACACCGAAGAATCGCTATGAAGTTGCGTGTGACTCGGCTGATGGTACATGCTGAAGAAAAAAGCTGTAAACCAACGACGCATCAACCATTCCACTTACTCAAGTGCACAGACCTCTCGTGGACCCGAACACTGTGCACTCGGGAAAAGGTTCGATCACAATGATTGCATTTGTGAGTTCGCTCTTCTGGAAGGAAAAAAATATTTGGCAGTTAGAAACAACACGGAAGGAAAACAACTTAATAGGAAAACAGTAATGGGCGGTCGCAATTGCAATAAAAATCAGGTCACACAAGTAATTAAAGTATGACGAATAAGAAACTAAGGGTTGTGCCTTATCTGCAGAACAACACACCAAATTGAATTATTCAACCATAAATCATGTCATTATCAAGTGATTGAAAATCCGTCAAATTCTACAACTTCCGTTTTCGGATGTGCTGTTGACCAGAGGAGAAGACGGCTCCATAAAGCGTTCTGTTCACAGGAAAGCTACATGGACAAGACTGTATGAACACTTAAACAGCTTCGCCCCTATACAATACAAGCGGTGTTTAGTCAAGACGCTGTTTAATCGAGCCCGCAGAATATGCACTGACGACTGGTTGGAATCGGAATTGCTGTTTATCACACAGACACTACGGGCCAACGGATATCCAGAGGCGTTTATTTGATTCCACAATCGACAGAAAGGAAAACAGACCGAGGGTACTTACTGTACCCAAACTCTCTGTCTACCTTCAATTACCTTTCAAAGGTGATATCGTGGCTGCCCAACTTGAAAGACGTTTGCATACAGCGATTCGTCGGACATTCAATGCCGCCAAATTCTGCCCCATTTGGGAGACCAGGAAGTTGCCTATGCCTCCAGTGAAGCTTACTCAACCGATCTCCGTCACAACCCATGGTATTTACCAATTCATTTGTAACTGCGGTAGTAGTTACATTGGAAGAACAGATCGATCCTTGGATACGCGCACTGGAGAGAATAGCCCAAAACGGATTGCTGAACTATCGACACAACAAGCAGCCGAACGAGAAAAGGTATCTAAGCTGCCGGCATCATCGATCGCCAGACGTCTACTCGAATCAAGCCATCAGGTTGACCCTAGGTCAACATTTACAGTTATCTATCGAAATGACAACCCCAAAGTATTGAGGTTTGTCGAACCAGTGGCACTTAACCGGCATCGCCCTGTCCTTTGTGTACAAAAACAATTAACAGTCTCCCTGAAGCTGCCTTGGGGCACACGACACAAAGATCAAGCTCGTTGATCTGTTATTCTTGCGTCTACGTAATTTTCCTTTGTGACCAGTTTCAAATCTTCGATTTTTCTGTCACGTGATTCATATTTATGTTGTTAGTTTGCGAGTGAGCAGATAACACGAAATGATTCCATCTCGCAATACCAGTCTTCTCATTGTCTTATTTGGAACTACGCATATGCCGACACGCGCAAAAGTTGCCACATGCAAAGTAGGCAGACATCGTGCTGCACATGCCCTACTTGCACTTTTGGTAGTGCATGGAGTGGGAACGGATGAGTGCACCAAACCGGTGTTAAACCAATGGTCGAAGCACACACAAAAACGTTGCACAACCAATCCCGACACTCCAATAGATATGACTGAGTAGTAGGGCAAAAGAGACTAGGTATCATCTAGTCTAGGGAATGTGGATGTGGAATATGATTCGCACTTCTGAAGTAAATGGTTGGCGACATACGGTTCCGCAGTTGGTAGGTACTGCGGCCTCCATCGGACGGTCACAGGACACCTGCGCCACAGAGGGAACATGGGTGGCTTGCGCTGCACCACTATAGTTCCATCTATCCACGAACACTTAGTCCAATGTGTGTGCCGGTGACATTGTTACATGGACGCACTCACGGGGTGGTCATGCTCAATCGATGGACTGGGTCATCGTAACAAGAAGTAGCGGATCATTCATGATGTGCGAAAGCCATCGTTTCTTGGAAGCCGGCAGGATGGAAGAGCAACTGCCTGCAATTTTAAAGGATGCCCTTTTACTTCTAGTTTGCAAGGGAACCAGTAGGAAGCATTGCGATACCAAGATAATATAAAGGTTATTATATCCAGATAAAATACGGACCTAAGGGATTAGAAGGAGGTGGCAAGGAATCGCCAATGCTGCCGTGATCTCATTACGCGGACCATTGCCAAAGCGCACAAAAGACGGTGCGTCAGGGAGGAGGAAGTACGGTACGCAGGAGTCAGCTACCAGCAAAAAAGGATTACCGGTTACTTATAGATGAATGTGTATACCAAGTGACCGTGTGTAACTCCGCCCAGCCTGCCTAACCGGTCAACAGCGAGGCTATGCCACACAGACCAAAAGTAAAAGGTCTTTGGACGGATGAGGTTGACCTTGCAGGGCGAAGTATATTACCAGCCTCATTTGGGTTGGTTAAGTGTTGACTTAGTTAAACGCCCAAAATTCCTTCGTGATTTCGTTCTTTGCTTCTACCACTGGTCTTCAGCACCCAGGCTTCTACTTGCTGGGACACCAGTGCTCGTTGAACACAACAAAGATAAACCATTGATGCCAGGCGGAACTGGGCTCCTCATAACGGTTGGACTTCGTACCGGTGAGCTTGTACGGGAAGAGGAGGAACACTGAGCTGAAACCTGAAGGCTCTTCGGGCTAGGTTGTTGGGCCAAACACACGGAGCTCCTCGCAACGGAACGATGAAGCCTGCACGTCGGCTTTACTCTTCCTCGCCGTATCTTGTTTCGGCAATTTTTACATAAAGTTTGAACGAAATCCTGTTGAATTTCACGAAGACGATGAAAATGCTCAACTGATAATCCAACACATGAAATGTAGTATTTAACGTGGCACAAAACACACGTGAGGGCATTTGCACGGTATCCGACTATCTTGGAACAAGTACCACAGGGTGATTGCTTCGGCACTGTGAATAATCCGAAAACAAGATGGCGACCAATTGCTGGAGAAAATGGCGATAGCAAGATCGCCGAAACCAAGCGGTGAAAACACAAGTATTTATGGTCGAAAAATTCAGAATCAGAAATAAAACTGATTGGTATCTAAATTTCCACGAAATACTTCCAATGAACGAAGAAATCCAACGCATAGTGATCTTGTCAACACAGCGAAAAATAACCGACCGGAGGCTGCTATCCGCAGTATGTAATGAGTGTTGATCGGATCCGGATCAATCGTGTCACTCGTCCGCATGCGTCCTAGTCGCATTGCTTTGGGTTTACACTGTGCATGGGGTATGTGGACGGAGCTACAGACGATGCAGCGCAAGCCACCCATGGTCCCTCTATAGAGAAGTGATGGGGAAATTATGAAAGGGATGCCGCCGCAGGCCCGAAGAAATAATGTCTACAGCTCAGACACAGCATCGCGTGCAATTCATTTGATATGGTTGGCGGCATCCGGTATCGGATTTGCCTGTCACTGTGGCCAGCCACAGGACGCCTGTGCCTACAGAGGGACCATAGGTGGCTTGCGCTGCACCACCCACCGCTCCAACCACACACCCCATAACCAGTGTAAACCTGAAGGAATAAGACCGGAAGGCATGTGGATGGGAGCCACGTTTCATCAACGGAGCCGGCCCACACTCCTGCACAGGCAAGCACAAGCACGCTGTATTTGGGGAATCAAGCGCACACAAGGCGGTGGCTAGACCGCAGTCCGCTCCACACTGACTGCATGGAACCACTCTTTGAGCGTAGCACGGCCACAAGGACGGTGCACCACGTACCCTCCAGCAACAACCAACTGTCTCCTGAAGCCAGTAGAAAAGAGGTAGTGGGTAATAGACAGGTAAGCACCTTGTCAACATGCACATCAAGCGCAGTCACACCAGGGATATCAAGCAACAGCCATTCACTTTAAACGACAAGCTGAAATAAAATAAATCCAATAATGCATACAGATACGGTGGCATAACTCTTCCCTAAATTACCATATGAAGTAAGCTGGTTAGCAACAAATCCGCAATAAGTAAGAAATGTCCACAGGTTACTTAAAAATGCTACAAACGCAACAAAATTACCGAAGATAAGCGCAATTAGCGTAAGTAACGTGGTCAGTTAATAGAACATTATTCGATTAGGCAGAACAAACCAAATAAAGTGGAATGAAATGTATCTAGCTTAAAAAGACCTAGTTTAAGTGTAAGTTGGTATAGCCCAACTGCGGTGAAGAAGCATCAAGAATGCAACATCAGCCTCAGCATAAGGTACAATTTATGTGATATACAAACTACAAAAAACCACAAAGGAATGGAAAAGCCGACAGCTAACAGCACGATGAACGTACTCTAAACAATATACAAGGATTCGGTTATGTTGCCGGATTGACGGTCTGAAGCTGTGCACCTTCGACTTCCACCAGCTGAATGCTTCTATAACTAGACGATTGGCACGAGCAAGAGAAGCAAAATCATGAGAAACGCGGTTAATGACTGGTACCTTTTCACTGCGGTACGATTCGCAGTCCCAAGTAGGATATGCACAAAGCGAACAGCACCGCTGAATGCCCCATTACATCGCGGCCACCCAGCTAACCACTGTCAGTGGTCTGTGTTGGTCAGCTTGATTGTCCATCAACCATTGACGTGTGGGATTGGACCCCAATGCTCTTGTTGCGATTAATGGAATCAAAACGGAGCTGGAATAATGCCTTCCGTCAGAAACAATATAGCATAAAAATACGCAAAAAGACGGGTTAACGAAAATTGGTTTACAGTCTCGGAAACAACAGGAGGCTTACTCAAATGTACAGAACGGGTGTGCTTCCGCAGATCGTTTGCCCGAGAAAATGATTTACTGCAATAGCTGCACATGTGCGTTCGTTCGTCTGCAACGGGAATGAATCAGTGAAGGTGTTTAGAGAGCAAGGCATTCACATTCACCGCGTTATATTCGCTGAACAATTTATCGACGCACAATATCAAAGACAAAAGTACAAAGCACCAAATCAGGACGGCTTGCTAAAACCGAAAGCAGAACAACGAAGAGAACACAGGAATGGGTGTAGTCTAACAGCAACAATATATCGTAAGCCGACGGACAAAGATGGTGTACCCCACCATAGCTCAGGTCATCCGAAGCGTGCGAAAGCTGGAATCGCCCCACGCTCGTTCTATAGAGCCCAAACTTTGCGCACAGATGAAGAAGAAAGGAAGGTCGCCCGGAAAGAAGCAATTGAATGGTAGTGGATACCCGAGGCGGTTAGTAAAACGCCAGCTACAGGGAATTTTAAACCCTCATCTACGGCGCACTACAGAGTGGATTCGGACAGTAGGTATTTCTTATACAGATGGAACATCGGAGGACATCCGGAAGGTATTAAATAAAGAAAACATAAGGGCGATTTTCCAGAAAGGCCAAATGATCCACTCTACACTAGTGTACTTGAAAGACCCACTTCCCGCAGATATGACAAACAATTGCATCTACAAAATTAGTTGCAAAGACTGCGCACACGTGTACATAGGCCAAACCGCAAGAGAGCTACGCATAAAAAATAGCAGAACACGAGACGCATAACACAGCTACGGAGACATGAGCTGGAATATATGGCTCTACTAAGGAGTTCGGCAGTAGCGGTGCACGCAATAGACTGACTTGGGTGACGTTAAAATCGTTGGAAAAAGGTTGTGATCAACTCCCCAGAGGCTGATTGCTGAGATGGTTGAGAGTAGCAAAGTGAACAGCGGCGTGAACAGAATGGACGAAGCAGAGTTTTTGAGCGTGTGGCGAGCTGTGTTAACCCGACCAGTCTGAGGAGCGCCGGCAAACGGACCCAGGGCAGAGAATGAACATCACATGATTCTCGCAACCATCGTTAACAGGGCTTACGTGTATAACATTGTAACGCGGACCACTTGTGACCATTCCATGCGCTATTTGGAGTGACGAGTTGAACTGTAACGTGATTGACTTTTTGCCGACATCCCATTCGTCGCTATTATCATCCCAGTTCGCTATAAGTGCTATACCAAGCCTCGAATGGTTCACTCGGCTGACGAAGCTTTTGTGTCAAAACCGAAACGTTGCCCACAAACTATACCAAACGGGTTATTATCAAACCTTCCAGAAATCGTGAGTTCTCGTTCGGTTCCAAGTAGTTACCAAGACGTTGAAGTAAAATTAGCTCCACTGATCGATCGTTTCGCAGCTGGACACGCATATTTGTAGTTAATTTTAACGTTTTTACGTGCCACCAAAAGGTAAAGTTTTTCAGGCAAGCGTTTGTTTCATCCGCTGGTGTCGATGGAGGAATTACAGTTAATGGTTGACTGGAATCTCCTGAGTGCAGTAACAGCACGTTCCAAAGTGATCTGCCTCCACGCAAATCTTGCAATGATCGAACAAGTACCTCGAACAATTTTTGTACGCATTCATGACAAAAGATAAGCGTGAATTTTTGCAGTATTTTCGCATGCTGGAAGCTACTGAAACGTTCTTAGGACAAATCTCATCATTATCAACGTTTCCTTTCAGATTGCTGCTGTGAGATAGTTGTTCACGTTCGCATTTTTGTACCTTTTCCAAGGAAAATATCTTCGGCCATATGCGATGTGTAGTTCTCCCATAGATGAAGAAAAGTAGGTGGTCAATACGATTGCACACAATGCAGGAATTCGACCTGGAGGTGACGTATTGCACGCGTCATTAATGCACACATCTCAGTGTCGACCATCCTGCAATAAATTCGGAGCTTGATATGCACACCGAGATGTGGCATGTGTAACACCGTTGACGATTCTCAGTTGTCGGAAAGACGTTGGACCAGGCACATTTGCCAACAACATGCGATGAAGAAAGCACTCATCTTGTTTGGAATGCACGGCGTACAGTCTGCCTATGATAGTTTCTTTTAAGATGCTAAATTGTCCGTCGACCAGCTCTCCTAGTTTGTGTCAGTCTAATGATTTTCTACTCGCCTTCCATATGTAATATGTAGGCACTTCCGAATACAGTAGAGTTTTCGCAAACGTGTCACATTTTGACATAAAGTGAAGAAAGCAGTTAATGTTGTAGCCGGTGGATTCATCGCCATTTGTCGAAGAATTACAGTTGTGAAATAAACACGTTGACCTTTTTTCAGATGTACGGCTAACTAAACAACAGCTAGACTTCGTTCATGCATGGAAAATGAAAGAATGCGCCACACAGCTTCGTTGCTGTTTATATAGCTTCCAGTTTGACGCTCCGCGCCTTCATCGATATACATGACCGTATTCATGTCACCGCTACGTCACTAGCTTTATTCACGTAATTACAACACCATTTTTCCTTCTAACAATCTTTTGATGTTCTGGCCGCCGTAGAGGATAATCAACGGCGCCTTATCTGCATCGTCGAACAGGGTGGATAGGAGTTGGGATGCTACTGCACAGACCTACACGTCTTCTTATCCCCCACTTGCGCTTTTTCAAACTTATCGTCCCGCTCCAACTTTACATTCATCCATCCATTTTCAATCACACAATTCTTGGCCTTCAACCACCTTGCGTTAATACTCGCTTGTCTTCTAGTTTTATACACAATCACAGGGCGTCATTCCAGTCTAGTCGACAAGTCCATGTTCACTCAAGCAGACAATATGAATGCATCCATTTCATTTATGAGTCCTGGATCCTCGCTAAGACTGGTATGCCACAATGCGCGCACTTTGCTACAGATTGGCCAACAGGCAGCACTCGCCCGAACGCTCGAGACACAAATTGTTCGGTATTTGCTGTGTATCGGAAACCCGTCTGCAAGATTCGAGCTCCGTGTTTACCCTGCGATCGCCTCCATGCGACTCTAGAGGTACATTCTAACTGCGCCTGTCAGACGATGACGCAGCTTCAAATGTCGATTAAGCTGGCGTCAGCGTTGTTGTGAGTCCCCGGGCTGTCCTGATCCACTGGATCCCAGTCAACCACCAGATGTGCGCCGTTAAATTAGCTGAATCGTTCCAGTCTTTGAGGTCATGCGGGGCAAACGGTGTCTGTTTGTCAGTGCGGCCGACGCCCCCACAAACTGTAACACGGGTCGTTGAAAGATGATTGCTATGACGAGCTCATTCGTTACAGAAGAAGCAGGGATACTGTGGTGCTTGCTGTCGATCTGAATGCCCAAGTCGGAAAATTGTCCTCTGATGAGTTTCATCTGGGCGGCCAACATGGTATAGGCTCTCTTAACGATAACGGTGAGCCTATGTGAAGGTGCTCGTCTTTCTCGCGGGCACTAACTTCCGACATAGCACTCGAAGAAGAGTGAGTTGGCGCCCACAAGCTTCGGAAAGTCTGTACTCGGAGTTTCCCGTCTGCCCAACCCCTGCATGAAATCTCTCCGTTACCGACATTGCTGTTTGGCGTTTCACAACCCCTGTTTCCTCTATGTCCGAATTGCGCCTCATTCGTGTCAGCGGCATCACCCCAAGTTTGAACTGCGTTCTGCCCCGGCAGTCTTTCTACAGACTCATCGTGCATCCACACTCATTCATACACGTTTCAGAGATCTTGACAACACCAAATCACTTGTACGCCTATTCTTGTGTTGTGTCCTGACACGAGGCGACCTTGCATTGATCTGATTAGAGCCGCATTGGTCGGCGCCATTGGTCAGATTCCACAACCTGTCTGTACATCTTTACATGTTTCCCTATGCTCTGTGCGGAGATCATTCGACTGCATCTTAGTTCATGAACAGACCTGGGTGATTGGACCTAGAAATTGCTTTTGCATTGAAGGACATTTTGGTGCATTTGAATTTGGGAATCGTTAAGGTATTGCCTGTTTTTTTATGATTACTTTGTTCAATAGCGGTTCCGGTTATGGATCTTGTTGATTTCCCGGCGGAACAGGAGTTGCTTCACATCCCAAGCGTTCTTGACGCCCACAGTGTTTAATGTCCTTGGGATCATTGGATCAATTGAAAAGCGGACTTCGTGTCTGAAGAACGTCAACTTTTGCTTCTCATTTAAACCGTGAACATGCATGGAAGAAGAAGACGGTTCGTGAAGGTCTGGGAAATTGACGAAGAAACTCGGCAAGTTGAGAATTTGCTTTCTATCGCCGACGATGCCGTTTCTTGCTCTGGTTCGCAGCATATTTGTTAAAGTGTTAGTTTAAGTCCTCATGATGCATTGGTTTCCTTTAGGTTAGCCCAACTTAAACAGTTGGTAGCTGAGTTAGAAAAAGAAAATTAGAGGCGCACTCTGTTGGCTGAAAACGAAATAGAGATGGCTAGATTACGTTTGGAGTTGGAAGGTGTTGACGGACTAAACAGTCGATTTGTTGCCGACTGTAGCGCAGTAACAAAGAGGGTGGAGATGGGACAGTTTATCGACGAATGTCAGAGAACCCTATCATTGGCACTGAACCGTTTACCTCCTGACGAACAAATGCCATCCTTCCGTAGTTCGCAATACGATCTATCAAGATGAGAGTAGGAGCTTTTTAAAGGTAAGACTGAAACCTACTGGAAGTTTATCAAACAACTTGAGTAGTTACAAATGTGATTGATCGATCCAACGGAGGAACAGTATTCTACGTTATGTGCGCTTTGTGTGATCTGATGGCAAAGGGGAATATGAAACAACAAACCGATTAGTGACTTCAATGTTACCGTTCATTGGGTTGCACTTCTTGTTTGTTTCTTCGCCACTAACTGGACTTATCATATTAAGCCATTAACTGCGGAATTTTTTTGAAAAGACGTAGTTGGAGTGGCAAAATGAGCTAGCATGCTCAGTGCAGAGCACGTATGTGAGCACATCTGGTTTCCTGCGACAGGCGATATCCCGTGGAAATATGAACATCCCAGTCTTCTCCGCGAGCGACAGATGATCTTACTTGGTAAGTTAAAGTATGAAATTGGGGATCATAGCAACTAATGGGTTAACCTCAAAGTGATATCCATCATTCGTGATCAAAATAGAAAGCGTACAAAATCCATCTAGTCATGAGTAATGCCAAACGAAACCGGATCGAAGCCCAAAACAATTAAGGTAAATATAAAACAATGAAAAGAGACATTAAAATTGACATCCAAACAAGTGTATTACACCTAAATCATACCGTTTTCTAATGCAACGTAATGACAAACTTTCAAAGCAATCGGTGCAGAACTTACAGAGATTACCGGCTGTGAATAAACATTTTTGTGTAAATAGCCTACCCGCAAGGCAGCGGGGCGTATTCATGGAATCACGTGCGCGGGGAACCGGAGACTGAGTACCCAGTTCATATGCCAACGGTCTAGTCATACAGAGCGAATCGGCTAGTCATCGTTTTTCGGCTATTATAGCAATCCAACATACCGTTTGTAGACCAGTGCGTCAAATAACATGAAAAACTGCATCAGTATTTCCATGTCACGGCTCCTTGCTACATACCAACACTCCAGCTTAAGCTAAAGACTCCTGATAAGATGTCGCTTCAAGCCTTTGCCGACGCGAAGGAGCTCACACTCAGTGACACCAATGTAGGTTTCCCAATCGACTTAATGGAGACTTCAGATACCGTTCCACAGTCCATCCGTCACAAAATGGGGAGCGTTAGAATCATTCATTCGGCACGAATGCAGCCAGCGAACGACTCACGCACCTCATAGACCTGTGTCAACTAGTAAGGCAATTTATCGTGATACTCTTCAAATGCAGTGTATGAGTTCAGTGACGAGCGAGAGCGTCAGAAAGTTTAGTACTTCACGAAAGCCGAAAGAGTGAGCACCATGCAGGGGCGTGCTGAAGTATGATCGGAAGATGAGAACTGAGACATCAACCTTGAGTTGATGCTCACTAGCTGAAGTCGATGGCAATAACGTCAAACTAAGTCGAGTACATCTTAGATTGCCCCAACTGTTAGACAGCACAATGTGAGTAACCGACATAAAAGATGCAGTTGGACGCCAGCCAAAAAAGTAACCGTAAAAACCTATCCATAGTGCATCTGACCACCAAGTGACCTTTCAGATGGAGACCGATAGATGTTCACCTGCGTGTTGCTGTCCCTAACAAAGATCATGACATACATACGGATAAGCGATAAGAGACGAAAATGGCCTCCGAGCTGCAGTCCATTGGGGTTTACAATGAAACTGAAACTGTGTCTAGCTTGGAACCGGTGACTAGTAACCACAATGACGGTCGGATGTCGATTAGCATACATAGAGCTGTTTACCGGGATTCATTTCATTAGTCAACCTTCGACACGTTTAACGAGGATAACACGACATAGTTAGAGATGCGAAGGCAAAACTTATTATTGACGGACTCTAATCCAGTTAGTGGGAAATCCGGTAGGAAGCTGTTAGTCCGCATGTATGTCTCCGTGGAACAGCCGACAACTGCAAGAGAGAGAAGAGGGGAGAGTTGTCGCCAAGTGCTGACCAAGCCGACCCAGAGTGCGAATGTTGAAGGAACCCATAGGAAAAGACACCTTAAGTCCGAAGGGAGGATTGGATTTAATATTCGCATCAGCCGCGAAATAGTCAGGAGCATGTAGCTGGTTAAGCGACGATGAGGCGCTGCAAAAAAGAATCGAAGAAGTAGCACTTATGGCCGACGCTAATTCAAAAAGAACTGTGGCCCCAGCGGAAACTGCACGCTGAAATCCACATACCCACTGGTTAAACGAAAACCCGAAGGCAACATGAGCAATTTGCGAGTATGGGCATCATGAATCTTCTCTGTATACATCTCATAAGATTTAAGCAAAATGCAAATCAATCAGAGTACCCTGTAAGGTGACATGTGTCAAAAATGTGCAAATGAACGTGTGGGAAGAATAGTCCAGTTCACTCGAATGATAACAGCAGAAAAAAATTGCAAAATTTTCGATGCCAGACAAGGTAACATCGTCAGTGCGGCTTTAAGCTGCTGTTTCGCAGAGCCTCGTAAGCGACTTCGAGATCTGGTATTCAAAGCGGAACTCGATCAATAAGCACCTAGATCTCGAAGTCGCCTACGAGGCTCTGAAAACAGAATTTTAAAGCCGCAATGATGATGTAGCCTAGTCTGGCATCGAAATGGCAGTAAAATAACTATTCAGCTCGGGGAGTAGTGCAAAACTCACATCCACACCCCGAGCTACGGATATTCTCTACTATTTCAAAGCATAAAAATAAAGAAGAACAAAGGCAAATCGCGCGGCCAACATGAAACTTACTCAAATGTACAGAGTGGATGTGCATCCGCAGATCGCCAGCGCGTGAAAATGATTTGCTGCAGTAGCTGCACGTGTGTGCTCGTTCGTCTGCAACGGAAATTAATCAATGACGGTGCTTAGGGAGTAAGGCATTCACATTCATCGGGTTAGGTTCTCTGAACAATTCATCGACGCACATTGCATCAAATCGTGATCACTGAGTAAAAGCGAGAGCAGAGTACGGAAGCGAACACGTCAATGGGACAGCCGATAGTGAAATGCTAATAAAGGAATATCCATACGTTATTTAAGTAGACCTAAAAAACTACTAAAAGAAACAAGTACGAGCACAGCAAGCCGGTTGTAGAGTGAACAGTATAATGTCGAAGCACCATTTGTCGCCCTCGGTCGCACGCCCAGCACTGCCATCAGCCAGCACAGACTACGTGCACCCGAATGAGTGGGATTCATTCGTCGTAACATGGGGATAAAAAGAAATCGTCCGATGATATAACGGCCTACGGATGGAATATTCGTACAGCACACCGGTCGCCAAGTGATGGGATTCGGCAAATAAAGTACTGATGCTTGAAAAAAACGAGAATGTTCGCATTAGGATCGTGAAACAAGTAACAAGTTACTTCGAAGCATTGGCATGACACAAAGAATCATACACTGCCTGAAACCTCCGCAAAAATTATGTGAATGTATTAAGACCTGGTGCTCATGACAGCATACAATCAGCAAGCACGCACAGCTACTGGTTGCACACGAAGCACCGAGGAGTAAGGAGTGAAGAAATCTGTAACAGATGCTGCGTGTTACCACCGCTACCACAGTTGGTTGCTTGAATTCTCGTGGGCAGGCCATTTGATGAATTCATCTAAAATTTACTCACAATGTACTATTGGACGATGTTTGCTTGGGGATACCGAATAGGACCTCATTCGCTGCGGCCAAGAACACCGAGTAGAAACACAAAACCACTTCAGATTTCATAGCGTTTATTGCGGGGATACCAATGTGCAAGTAGGTCCTTTGAAATGTTCAAAAGCTCAGCTAGGTGGGCTAAACTCCGACCGGACAGATAATGGTGGATGTCCGTTTAACGGTGCACAGAACACCGTTAATAGGCATACACACTTTACACACTATACACGTTACCTAGAGGTGGGAAACACCTCAGATACTGTTCGGCAATACCTAAAAGAAAAAAGGGAATAAAATGCAACAGGTGCAAGCCAGCTGAGCTACCGGTAACGGATGGGCATCGTTCCGGTAAGCTAACTGTCGACTAGTATGCAGCAGAAAAAAAGTGATTTATTATGCAAAATTATAAAATGCTAAATAATGAGATTGTGGTTGGAGGGGGAGGCTAAGAGGGATGTCGTGGGACAAAGAAACGCACAGCACGAACGCCACTGAGGTCGGCTCCTAGCGATATCAACAAGTGCATCCCGCCAAGCGTGTTCATCGTCTTTCGGACCACAACTAGGGAGGCGTGACGCTCCAACTGAGGCCAGCTTCGATGTGAGGGAATTCATTCCTCTCGACCAAGTCATCGCTTAGCCACCACTCCTCTTCTTCCATCCACACCCCCGGCGCGCAAACAACGCACGTCGACTGAGCCGGTGGGCTTGGATGCGCACCACGTGGCCGAGCCATCCGACTCTGGTGCGTGAAATAACGGTGCTGAGCAGTTTATTCCCTTTTCCAGTGCTGTAAACAAGGCGTAGAACACGATCGTTGCTCACGCGGTGTTCCAACGAGATGTGAGCTAAATTACGAAGGCACCGGTGGTCGAACGTGACTAGAATCTTTATGTCCGCTGATCTAAGGGGCCAGGTTTCACAACTGTACAGTAGGGTCGAACGTACCGCGGCATTGTACACTCTACCCTTCAGGGCAAGAGTGATGTCGCGCCGCCGCCATAAGTGGCGAAGGTTAGCAAAAGCGCCCCGAGCTTTTGCTATACGGTTCGTGATCTCATCTTCCATCCCACGGGCGCTGATACAACTTCCCAGGTAATTGAATTGCCGAACGACTTCCAGCTGATCCCCACCAAGTGTCAGCGAACGAGGCGGTACAGGCCAATCTCGGAGGAACGCTTTGCACTTCGATGGTGCAAAGCAAAGCCAGAAGCGGTTGACAGCCAGTGTTAATCTGTCCAGTGCCGCTTGGCATGTCTGGGAGCTGTCACAAATAAGGGCAATATCATCAGCATACTTCAAGTCAAGAAGTCGTTCTCTTGGGAGCAGACCAACACCTAAGTCGTATCCTGTCAACGCGATTTCCATGACATCTTCAATCGCGACGTTGAAGTGAGAAGGTGAAAGCACGTATGCTTGTCGCACACCGCTGGAGATATTAAAGGGCGACGACAGCTTGTCATAAGCCCTTACTCCGCAAAACTCATGATGATCTATACACGTTAGCCGAGGATGAGAAACACACCTCAGTATATATGCCGCAATACAAATGTATGACAATAAGCAATGCAGACTAAAAAGCTATGAAAAAAGTAACAATGGGAAGCAACACTGAGCGATGTGGGCCAGTATCGCCTTTGCAGCTGCAGTCCACGGGACAAGCCATGTGCTTAACAACAGACTTTACTGGATATGGCTCGCAGTCGCAGTGGAGCGTCTGACATCACCTGGAGGCTGCATTGACTGTTTAAAGTGTAACTGATTCCTTCCAGCTGCCTACAAGCCAGCAAGTCAAACCCTGGTCCGGAAAGGCATCAGACGATTGTTCCGCCCTATTGGGACTCGTCAATGGTGCGCATTCATTCGGTCTCCTGTGGGGGATCGAACCCATGACCGCTAGCACCTAACGCTAACTAGCTAGCAGCTTATGCCACTAAGTCATGATGGATGGAGGCAGACCGTCTTAATTTATAAGCTTTACGGGAAATAGCTCAACCATCTTTCAACGCCATGCAGAGAGCAGTGGATGTCCAGCTAATGTGTGGTACCGAGTTAACTGTTATTAAACGGCTGATTACGATGCAGGGCATGAAAATATATCAGGAAGCTGTCTCGCCGATACTGCCAGATGTCCACACGATAGCCAGCTGTGTTTGCGACGTTATTCTGTTGAAAATATGTAGGCGCCATGACCCTGTAGGTTTGCGTGGGGCGTTACAGTTTCGCGATAGGTCCACCATCTCTCCCACATATTATTCATCGTTACAGAGGTCATCGTGGTTGTATGTCAGCAAAGTATCAATTCAAATGACTGACGTACTGCTGTCCAGAGTATCCGTCGTGAGTGGACATGCAAGCTCAACCTAGATCGGGATTAATCGCAAAGCAAACCTGGACAAACACAAACCGTATCTGAAGTCAAAGACTGACCCATCATAGACCAGTACGTTCAGAGTCAAATGATCTGACACATTCCTCCGCACACCATCGCGTTAGTTAGGCAAACTAAACTTTATGGAAATAAAGATGTCTCTGAACAACGCAGAGACAACAGCAAATGAAGCAGACACGGACACGGACCGAAGCCAAGCAAATCATTCAGCGATGCTACAACGCAAGCCATAAAATCAAATCATGCACTCACTCGAATGAACGGTTCTGATATGCCTTTGCATATGGCTGTTCCCGGTAAACGATTGTTTACAGTATTCACATGAATAGGGGCGTTGTTCTGAACAAGAAAAAAGAACCCATTATTTACCGGAGAACCAAAAGAAAGGTAGATGAGAGAGGGCCAGGTATGTATCGGCAAAAACAAGCGCATCTGAGTACTGTGTGGGGTTACGTGTCCAACATCCAAATAGTACAATACAGAAGAACCTCAAAATTCAGTTGGCAATTCGATCGCAGCAGTCGTGCACGGCGTACGAATATGCCTGGTGAGAGCATTTGCGCAGTGAGTGAGGCACGCATTCGGTTGCCTATCACGTTCTCGCCTTCCACTTCGATCGGATATTCCAATTACATTTTTCTTAAATGGGGACTTATCGAGAAGCTCACTCGAGAAGTGATGGTTATATCTCCAACGGAATTCAGCACCAAATGGTTACGACAGCATTCGGTTTGTGTATTGCGGTTTAACGCTAAACACAGAGTGATTTGCGGTATACACATACGCACATGCATCAACTAGGTCAAGTTCTCCGCACTTAAATGTGGGCACCTAAATTACTGACTCGAGAAAGACAACTCAACGGTAAGAAACGAAAAATGTCTGATCGCCTCTAGTACTCATTACCTCTGGGTCAGCACAAGTCATAAAGCACCCGGGATACAATTAGCGGCCCATCAACAAGCAAACATTCCCAAGTCTCACATCACAGTAGATGATCATTGTAGCCAGACAACACGCTTCAAGATGGTGCCGTTCTGTACTGAACCCGACAATAGATGGAACCACACACACTTTCCATTGTCGCTTCTCATCAATCACAGTTAGCAAACATGGATGTGGATAATTTAGTGCATCAGACAGCGTGTCTTTGTAAGAGACCATCGCGCGGGAAACCCGCAATGGGTGGTAGGATCGATACGGAGAAATATTGGACAGGTGCTATATGAGGTTAATGTGGGTAATTTGATTTGGACCCGGCATTCCAATCAGCTGCGACCAACTAGCATCCCTGCGGGCACAAGCGCTCGGTTACTACCGTTAGATATTCTACTAGAGAGTTTCGACATGCCATCTAATCCCCAAAGCAATTCGGATGCATCCCGCACAGAAGTCTCAGAGGAACCGAAGGTCCAGACCCGGCGCTGTACTGATCGACTACGGAGACCTGTCGTAAGAATGCAGTTGGATCCAAAAATGAAGTCTTATGTCAACTTTTGCGGGGGAAGGTGTTAATGGGACGGAACCAGCCAATGAGAGCGTTTTACGCTGAGGGCTATTGATTTGGCCATAAATTGAATGTACCATTAGTTGGACGTTATGCTAATATACTTGCCAGCCGTACGCCGGTCTCCTGCTTTGGGAAGTCGGGCTGATCAGAGTGCACGCTAGCAGCAGGTCATCGGTAGGTCAGCCGAAACCATAACACTTTCCCAGCTAGCCGGTGTTGTGGGGTCATCGGGTGAACAACGCAAGGTCGTATCACCAGCTGTTGTTCTCAGTCGCAC